TCCTGGAGAGGACTCAGCGTAGAGTCATCATCTGCCAACACTCCCAGCAGCTAGAGGAATGAGGACCTTGGTCCTGAAGGAGGGATCGAGGTGACATCCCACAACATCTACTACACGTACCAACAAACTTGGATGACATTTAGGGCACATATCAGAATCAGAGGGGACATAGTTTAAAGAGTTGTCCAAGATGGTCCCACAGACCATCATAATTCAATATTGCTGATATACCGAACCTGCCCTGAGACAAAGGAGGTGATTTGCCCAGAGACACACAGCAGGCTAGTGTGGAAAGAGCCCACAGGTTTGTGGTGTGAGCCCCGTTTCCCAAGCAAGCACCAAAAGGGCAGCACCTTTGCCTCACCTGCTCTCCTATGCCCCAGAACAAACGAAGCCTAGCACACACCTGGTCCAGAGATGATGGGACTGTGTTGGGGGTGGAGGTAGAGGAGGTGATGCTTGTGTCAATAAATGCATGTAGAACTGAATTGGTTTTTTGAAGTAATTATCATGTATAGACACGGCCTTTGTGCTGTGTATACATGACTTACCCTGATGAGCAAATCCCCTGATTCTTAATTAACCTTTTTATTTGAACCCCTTGACCAAGCAGCAAATGGAGGCTGGTGAATTGGAAATGACAGCCTCACCTCCCCTGTGCCCCAAACTGGCCAGCTAAGTAGGCTGATAATTACCTCAGCCAAGGCTGGGAACTTTTTACAGGCTGATGAGCAAATACTCCCCCACTAATAGCACTGATAACCACAGAGCCCAGCTCTCCCTTCATCTCTGTCCTGATTACCTTCCGTGAAACCAGGGTGCAGGTTGTAGTAATATCCCCCTCTCTCCCTCTCCCCCTGTCTCTCCTTTTAATAAAAAGAAGACCGTTTGGACTAAGGATCAGGAGAGCTGGCACAAGGAGGAGGAGATATTTGCCTGCAGAAGCCTCTCCCCCCAGGAAAAGGCAGATGCTCCGGCCATGTCCTTTAGCAGACCTGGTGAACAGCTGATATTTCTGGAACGTGCTCCTCAGTGGATGTCGAAGCAATTTGGAAGGCTGGCTCTTGGCCCACAGTCACATGGAGGGGGTGGGGAGGTTTCAGCAAAGTCTTTAGCCCCCAGGGCTCCCAGCAAAACTGAGCAAGGAGCAGTAGGGAAGAAAGGGAAAAATTGATGGGACAAAGAAAGGGAAAGGAAGAGGAGGATGGGAGAAGGATGCAAAAGAGGAAGCAAAGATTAGGTACAGGGTATTATAGGGGGTCTGGACATAGAAAGGAGGTCCTAACAGTGGCCTGGTCCCTGCCACATCCCTCAGAGGTGGTTGCTTGTTTCTGCCTGCTGTGCCCTGCCTGTCCCACCCACCTCAAAGTATGACAGTAATGGTAGAACTGCTCACAGACTGCTTACTTTGGGCCAGGCCTGTGCTGAGCACTTTACATGCAGCATCTCCTGTGAACCTTAAGCAACAGGCACCGGTCTTCCCATTTTACAGATGCAGGAGCTAAAGCACAGAGAGGTTAAGAAATTTACTTAAGTTTCTTAAGGTTTACATAGCTAGTTGGAGATGGAGCCAGGCAGTCCGACTCTAGAACCCAGCGCTTAACCATTCTGCCGAGGTCCATGTCCCCCAGAGCTCTGGGTGCCTTTCCTGTACATGCCTGATGTAGCAGAAAGAGCACTGGATTTGAGTCCCAGCTCTGCCCTCCACCCCCGCCCCCACCAGCTGTATGACTGTGAGCAAGTGAACCTGTTTGGCCTCAGTTTTCTCGTCTATGAAATGGGCATGATTATCTGTCCTGCTTACTTCACAGGACAGGCGTAGGGATCAAGTGAGATACTATTTACGAAAGCCCTTGTAAGCCCAAAGGGCTCTGCATTTGTCCACTGGCACTCTCCTCCCTTCCACTACGTGAGCTCCTGCAAGGACCTCGGGTGGTCCTTGCATTGTTTTTATGAGCCCCTCCCACACATGGTGGGAGCTCAGGAATTGCATGATTCCCACCAAGCAAATGAAGAAAGAAATGGAGTGCCAAATCCTTTCTTCTCCCTCCCCCTTGTCCCCTTTCCTGCCTCCTTCCTCTCTTCTCCTCTACCTTCCCTCCTTCTCTTCCTCCTCTTTCGCATACCCCCGCCCTTCCCAGGACTCACACTCTAAGAGGAAGACTGTCCCTCTCTCCAATCCATCCCACACTTTGCTTTGAGATCGAATTTTCAAAAGCACAACTGAGGGCCAGCCCCGTGGCCGAGTGGTTAAGTTCACGTGCTCTGCTTCAGTGGCCCAGGGTTTTGCCAGTTCGGATCCCGGGCACAGACATGACACCTCTCATGAAGTCATGCTGAGGTGGTGTCCCACACACCACAACTAGAAGGACCCACAACTAAAAATACACAACTATGTACTGGGGGGCTTTGGGGAGAAAAAGGGAAAGTAAAATCTTTAAAAAAAAAAAAAAAAAACAACAACTGCAGCCACATCACTACCCGCTCAAAATCCTTGCACACACTCAGAGGAGAAGCCCAGTTCTTCTGAGCCAGGCGCTAAAGCCTCTGCCATCGGGCCCCACCTCTCTTTTCTGGCCTCATTTCTCATGACTTTTTTTTCCAGGGTATTCCAGTCCTCCCTCACTTCTACTGTCAGTTTCTTCACCTGTAACAGCCTCATGGGTAATGGGCTATCAGTGCCTGACACATGGTTAGTTGTCAATAAATGTCACATATTGAACAGGAGGGTCACTGAGGACTTGCCCTGCTGTTTTGGGATCTCACCTGAGGCCCCAAGGCTGAGAAATCCAGGTGTGAAATGCCCACACATTCTGAAGGGAGATGCCAGACCATCTAGGCAGGACCTGCTAAGACTGGCCCCAAGCTGTTCTGCAACCCCTGCCCCATTACGCATCTCAGCCTATGCAGAAGAAAAGACTAGAGGGTGACCGAGGCCACTGGAGGGAGCTGGGTTTTCTTCGACTTCTCAGCTAATGGTGAGGGCTGGGGTGATGCCAGGCCTACCTGTCTCTATCTCCCCAAGCCAAGTGAGGGGGTTCCAGCAGCTGGACACCACCATGGTGCCGGAATGAGGCATATCTTGGGAAAACCTGACCTGTGACCCCCAGAGCTGGGAGAACACAGAGACTAGAACTCAATTCACCCCTGTAAAAGTCTAAAGTCAAGAGACCAACCGGAGCAGCCTGTGTCAGTAGCTGAGAGAGAGAGAGCATCGAGCAGGGAACAATCCCCACAGGTAGAGGTTGGTGGGGCAGAGGTACCAAGTTTCTCTGAGGACTGGGCGGATGCAGGGGAAGGTGGACAGACTAGAGCTGTGTTGAGAGGGCCCTCCCAAGAGGCCCTGAGGACCACCTCCTGGGGGAAGGCAGCCTTGGCAGAAGGCGGCTGCGTGGGTGATATTAAAGGGAGGGGAGGATGAAGGGAGGAGCTTCTGAGGAGTCACACAGTGGTTCAGGAGTGGCACGTCACCCAAGGTGGTAGGGTCCCCGACTGATTAATTTTTATTATCTTTTCCAGGGCTAATTCTCCAATCTCCTTTACCAGAGTGCTCCAGGCTAGGCTAGTTTGCCCACCATCTTCCACCATACTGAGTGATTCTCCTTTGCTTCCATCACTGCCCTGCCTGGAACGCCCTCTCCACTCAGGCCTACCACGTAGAACACAATGTATTTCTTGAAGGCCAGGCTCAATCTCGCGCCCTGAGGAAGGCCTCCCTGATCCGGCCACCCAGGCACCTGTCCTCTCTGTGAACTTGCTACTTTTGGTAGCCATAGCTAGTTGCATATCCCAGTATTCATTATCTCCTTTAAAAACAGAACCTCTTAGTTTTAGCTGGGCACTTGGCCACTCAGGGTAAAGACTGATTTTCATAGCCTCCTTTGCTGCTGGGTCTGGCCAATTAGATATAAACAGCAGTAGTTGGAGCCAGCTTCCGAGAATGTTCCTTTAAAGGCTGCTAGTGTGTGTCCTTTAGCCCCCTTCCTCTTTGCTCCCTCTTCCTTTCACATGTCTGGAAGGCAAACGTAATGGCTGGAGCTTTAGCAGCCCTTTGGGACCATGAGATGATCTTATGAAATGAGAGCTATGCAAGGATGATGGAGCAAAAGGAGAAATATCCTGCTGTAGGACTACCCTACACGTTCTGGACTGCCTGTCTCTGCAGTGTAAATGAGAGAGAGACATACTTCTATCTCCTTTAGGCCACTGTTACTTTGGGTTTCCTGTAGGAAGTAGCCAAACCCAATCCTAATTGATACAGTACCTAAATTGTTCACAAACTCACACTGGTGAAAGTGCCTGGCATAGTAAATCCCAAACGCTAGCATCTCAGTCAATCTGTTTTCTCTGTTAGCGTGTGACATCTCTGGCATTATAGCTTTATGCAAGCTTTGTAGTATCAGTTAACCCCATTCACGGGATGTGCAGCCCCAACTCTCTAAATATAGCTATTATATATGCTTTTCAAAATTATTTTACTCCTGAGCTTATCTAATCTTGCAAAGAATGCATTACTGTCCCCATTTTATAGATGTGGTACTGCCAGTTCCTTGGGGACCAAATTAGGCCAGGCACCCAGGACTTCTCACCCCAGGCCCACTGCTGTCCATCCTGCCTCAGACCCACAGCGACTAGACCTAATCTTCTTAATTTATCTTCATGTTGCTTCCATTGCAAAGAACATGAATGTCCTTTGGTGTGAAGGTATGCACACAGTAGGTGTTCAATAAATGTATTACATGGAGCTCCGAGAGGTTAAGGGATTCATCCAAGCGACTTTCCAAAATACATCTAGACCAGGGGTTGGAAAACTACGGCCCACAGGCAAATCTGGCCCACAGTCTCTTTTTGCATAGCCCACAAGCAAAGAATGGTTTTTATATTTTTCCATGATTATAGAAGGAGAAGGAGAAGAAGAAGGAAAAGGAGGAGGAGGAGGAGGAAGAGGGAAAGAAGGAGAAGGAGGAGGAGGAGGACAAGAAGAAAAGGAAAGAGAAAGAGGAGGGGGAGGGGACGGAGGAGGGCAGGAGCACGGGACAGAGCCCCTCACAGGAGAAGTGTGACCACCTCTCGGGCCAGACCATCCTCATGCAGCTGGATTTTGTCCCCCAGCAGCGCCCGCACCAGCTGCTGCCCCCTGAGAGACACGATTACCCAGAGAGCTGGGCGAGCCTCCAGGAAGGCCTGTGGGATGGGTCCGCCCTCCTGTGCCAGACCCTAGGGTGGGGCTGGAGGTGTGTGTCGGGTGGGGGGAGCCCCAGGAGCCCACTCCGGGCAGCACCGCCTCCTTCCGGGCAGATGGGGATGAATTTCTCCCCCACAACCACCACCATCCTAAGACTTGGAAGCCTTTCTGATTCACTGGTCAAACACTCAAGCTCAATTTGATTAAAAATTCATTGGCATTTTTCCTGTAAAAAGAGTAGATAAGTGAGCAAACATCAGTGGCTGAGGCTGTAGTCTGAAGTGTGAAAGCCCAAACAGGCCGAAACCATTACAGGAAAAGCCATCAGCTCCAGAGCATCTCTATTTCCAAAGATACCAGCCGTCCAGAGGGGAGGTGGAGCCAGCTTCCCATTTCCAGCACCCCTGACAGCACGTTCCGCCACAAGATCTCTCACTTCTTCACTCAGCAGATATTTCAGTGGTTAAGAGGATGGGGTTTGAAGTCAGACTGATTTTTACCAGCTGTGTGTCTTCAGCTGAAGTACTTAATCTCTCTGAACCTTGGTTTCCTCATCTGTAAAATAAGAATATTAACATTTACCTTGTAGGATATGCAAAACCCTCATCACAGTGCCTGGCCCTGGAGTGCTCGCTAGACGGAAGGTATCTATTTGGTATTATACTGAGCAGCCCTCACTCTTTCTCCCCTCCTCCTTCTGACACTCTTCTTTATTTCTCCCTCTTAATCGCTCCTCAGTTACCTGCCAAACCCCACCCTCGAAAGCAGTCCAACCTGCTTCTCTAGCCTGGCCCTCTCCTGTCTGGCCATGCCCCTCAGTGTTGGCACTGAATCCTCCTCAAACGGGCACAGACCATCGTCCCGCAAGCCTCCTGCCAGGGGTCTCTTCCCATTCTGCTTTGCCTGCGTGTCCGCCGGGCCAGCTTGCAGCCCTTCGCTGGCACGTTGTAAATCTAGAGGCTAAAAAACCCGTCTTTCATTTGATGAAGCATCTTGAGAAATCGTGCCTTCTGGATGCTGTTTACACCCCCTGGCCTGGGCCCGAGGAGGGAGCTTGATGAGCATTGGCCGGTAGACTGGCTGGAAAAGTGAACGATGACCACCTCATGGCCAGAGTGTCCCTGTCCTGTGACCCAGGTGAACCCCAAGACCACCTGGACTCAGGGACTGGGCAGGCCCAGACAGAGTCGTCCTGTCGGAGGGCTGCCTGATGTAACAGGAAAACACTTGGACTTGGGAGTGGGCCATGCCTGGTTTGACTTTTGACTTCACCTCCAGCCACCTGAGTCCTTGGACAAGTCGCTTCACCTCCTGGAGCCTTCATTTCCTCACCTATAAAGTGAGAAGAGCTTACAATGAGACGCCAATTCACACTCACTAGGATGGTTGTAATCAAAGACAGATAGTAAGTGTTGGCAAGGATGTGGAGAAATTGGAACCCTTAAATGCTTTGGAAAGAGTGCAGAATGGAGCAGCCACTTTGGAAAACAATCTGGCAATTGTTCAAAAGTTTAAACATAGAGTTACCATGTGATCCAGCAATTCTATTCCTAGAGATCTACCCAAAGAAGCGAAAACGTATGTCCACGCAGAAACATGTACATAAATGTTCATGACAGCCAACAAATGGAAACAACCCAAATGTCCATCAACTGAAGAATGGGTAAACAATATGTGGTGTGCTCACACAACGGAATATTATTTGGCAATAAAAAGGAAAGAAGTACTGATACGTCTACAACATGGGTGAGCCTTGAAAACACGCTGCTAAGTGAGAAGCAGACACAAAGGACCACATGTTGTAGGAACCTATTTATATGAAACATCCAGAACAGGCAAATCCATAGAGACAGAGAGGAGATCAGTGGTTGCCAGGGGCTGGGGGTGGGAGGGGATGCGAGTGATGAAAATGTTCTTTTTTGGGGTGATGAAATGTTCTAAAATTAGGTAGTAGTGATGGTTGCACAACTCTTGGAATATGCTATAAATCATTAAATTATACACTTCAAAAGGGTGAATTGAATGGTGTGCGAATTTTAGCTCAATAAAGCTGTTATTTTTTAAATGGGGTGGGCAAGGCCTCCCCACCCATTTTGCAGGGTCACCGAGAGGCTCAGGGGAGGCCGTGTGTGCCGGGTTTTGGACCCAGCACCATGCCGTTACAAACAGGCCGGCTGGGGCCATGGCCCTTCATACAGATGGAGCCCTTTCTGCCCTCTCTTCCTGTCTGCTCCAGCTCAGGGGTCCTCAGGGAGAGAGTTGCTGAGGAGCGACACTGCCATCTGGCAATGACAAGAGGAGGTTCTGGGCCTCCAATATGTCCACCGCAGAGCTGGAGGGGCAAGAACTATCTCCTCTCAGAGGTGCAGACCGAGAGGGACTGACCTGCCAGGACACTCCGTTGCGTCCCAATACAGCCTCTCCCCTCACTCAGAGAGCCTCGGGCACCTTCCTCCTGGGGGAGGGAGGGGCCCATCAAACTTCAGGTTTGGGAGTAACTGGAAGTAAAGTGACAGAGCAGAGCAGGACTGCGGGGGACAGATCATGTTTTAAAGAAAGATGACTTCAGGCCCTTCAAACCTTCGGCAAGCATCAAATGCTACAATAATGACGATGATGACAACTGACGTGTATTGAGCAAGCATTTCCTATCTGCCAGGCACCACTCTAAGCATTTGTATGTTTTGACTTATTTAATCGTCACAAAGATCCCATGAGGCAGGGATATTGTCTCATTTCACAGATGAGAAGATTGAGGTGCAGAAGTTTCCATTGCCCAAGGCTGCACAGCTAGAAATGGCAGAACCAGGGTTTGAACCCTGGCGGTCTGGCTCCACTGGCTGTGTGCTCGACCACTCTGGTCCACTGTGTAAACCCTGCACACCGCACACAGCGGAAGACTGAAGTTATTACTGGGACAGTTCCATGCTCCCCGCCAAGGATGTAGGCCTCAAACTTCACCAAGCACCGGAGTCATCTCGGGTGTGTGAAAAAGGCAGAGTCCTGGGCTCCCCCCAGGGAAACTGATGCCTAAGCCTGGATGGTCCAGGAATCGGCACTTGTGACCAGCATCCCAGGTGACCCTGACGAAGGCTATTCAGGACACACTTGGAGACGCTTGGCCTCCCTGAATCAAGACCTAACTCCTGGGCCCGGCGGACTGGATCTGCCCCACGGGGTGGGCTCTCCCTGCTCAGGCCACACCACACTTACCCCCACTCCACTGTGCTCATCCGAGTCCCACCTTCTGTAAAGGCCCAGGTCGAGTTCTATGTCGCCCCTAAGCCCTCCACAGGAAGAGCAGCCAACTCTGGCTTCCCTTCTCCAAACCTCAACCCCTCATGGAGGAGCCCACCTGCTTCAGAGCATCACTCCAAGCTGCCTGGGATTCCTGCATCAGTGTCCCGTGGCCGCAGGCCTTTTCTGACAAACTAGATCATCACAAGTGCCCTAAACGTAGAAGCTTTCTTTTATATTCCTCGTGCATGTGGCCCACAGCTCATAGAAGGTGAGCGTTCAATAGAGACCTGTGGATGTGGTTACAGACCTCACGTGCCAACACGCTCCTGTTTCAATGATCAACATGGCCCATATGTGCAACTGGCCAATTCATGTCTGCCTGCCTATGGGCACAGTCCAAGTGTCTAGATTCTTCCTCCACAGAATCCAGGGGACCCCTCTGTGCCAGGAACCATTCTAGCACTGAGGGTCCAGAGGGTGCACCCTCTCTGAAGGTTGACACACCCAAACAGCTCAATCTAATGCAGTGTCCTTGGGTGCGATTTTCCCCCTCAGGGACACTTGACTATAACTGGAGACATTTTCAGTTGTCACAGCTGGGGTGATGGGGCTACTGGCCTCTCGTGGGTAGACATGAGGGATGCTGCTAAACATCCTACAATGCACAGGACAGCCCTGCACAACACAGCAGTACCCAGCCCCAAATAACAGTTCCGAGGTTGAGAAAGCCTGCTGTAATGGAGTTCACTAAGACCCACAGCATTGCAACAGCCAGTGGTGGTGACGGGACCAACAGAAGATGATCAACCCCCAGGGAGAAGGGGTTATTGGAGAACTGTTCACAGAGGAGACGCTTAATACGTGTGGACTGATTGGTGAGTGACGGACAGGAAGGACTTTACCAGGCCGAGGCACGGAGGAGAGAGGCGGCGTTCCTGCCAGCGAGCCGGGAGAGGGCTTGGCAGGTTCGGGAAGCTGCTGCCCATGCGATGCGGCCCGTGCCTGGCACTCGTTCTTTTCATTCACTCAACACGTCTGCTGCCACCTTATTTTCATTACTCATTTGATGGGCAAACTCTGTCGCCAAGCAGAGTGGCACGGTCACTCTGGCCAGGGTCGGATCATGCCCGATTCCGAATTGGTCTCTGAACAAAGGAGGTACACTTCAAGGGTCACATAGGGTCGAGCTGAACGTGGCCATTTAGCTGCACCGAAAGGTGGGACCCCCAAGCTGCAGCTGTGAAAACACAAAAGTAGATTAAAGGTTTTCAGTGGCATCGTCGTAAAAGGCTACCACACGAGGCGTGACGTCTTCCTTCCAGAACCCCCCGCATGAGGCCTCCTGCCTTGGCAAATGAGGAAAACGGATTCTGAAGAATGCCTGTGCTTCTCAAGTTAGATGGGAACGACAACACATTACAAAATAATTCTGAAAAAAGAACAAGTAATTCTGGTAATGTTTGTCTCTTAGAAAAATCAACCCTTGGCGGCTCTGTCACTTATGTTAAGGAGCTGTTTTCCGGCAGCAGCTCGGGCTCCGCCGTCTCCACTGTCTTCTCCGTGCTCCTCTTCATGGGTCTCTTGTCTGGCCTCTCCATCTCCGGCTCTCTTCACATCGAGTGTCTGTGTCTGCGTTGTGTGTGCATGATTCTCCTTTTTTGTCTGCATTTTTGTTTTTTCCAGTGTGGATCTCTTGCCCCCGTGCTCCCTCTCTCTCTGAGTTTTGTTTTTCTCCTTATTTCTAGTCACCTGTTTCTGACTCTGCTTCTCCCTCCCTCCCGCATTCCTTGAGCCCCTTTCTCCCCCTCCCCCTTCAGCCTCTCTTCCATAACCGGCCACAATATATAACCAAAGCGTATTTTTATTACTGGTTATATCTCCCTGACAGAGTCACATGCTCCTCTTTCTTGATTTTCAAAAGCAAATGACTGAAACCTTTTCTATTTCTCTCGCCCTAAAGCTCCTTGCATTTTACTTTCATCTTCCTCTATTGATTTATTTTTCTATTCTGTGGGTCATGCCCTTCATAGAAAAAAATAAGCTCTCCACCCTTGTTTCACTGTATTTCAGAGAAAAGCCGGCCCAGGTGGGGTGCAGGGCACCGAGGCAGGTGGTGCCGGGGGGGACTGCGGCCGGGCTCCCGGCGGGCACACCCAGGGCCCTGCCGTAGGGGGCTTTTCTTGGTTAATCTGATTTCAGTGGAGCCCAGATCTGCTTTGGGTCTAACACACGCAGCTCTGGAGGAATATTCATCACCACAGATTCCCTTGCCTTCGCTGCTGCTGCCTGTAGTGGCCAGAGAGGGATTGAAAATGATTGAAGACAAGTCTCAGGGAGCAAATCTTTTACATCTTAAAAGGAGAGAGATTTTCAGCCTGGCAGGAACATGAAAGTAGATCCAGGAGCTCTCCAAAGCTTCGCACTTTTCTGTTTTGCTCAAGCCTTTGACATGGAGGCTGCATGTTAGCCTGGCTATTGGGCCCAGTGTCCCCACCTCTTGCTGAAGTTGACCCTCTGTCTTTTTGCCCTCGTCCTCATCCTGCCACTCCTGGCCCGTGCCTGGGGTCATTATAAATAGAGTCACAGGACCTGGAATATCAGGATGGAAGGATCCAGTCAAATTGCCTCATCTTACAGAGGAGAAAGTGAGTCTCAGAGGGTGGAAATGAATCGCACAAAAGCACAAGGCTACCTGGTGGCAGATGTCCCCAGTGCCCCTCCAGGCCTGTCTGCACATCTCTTAAAGGTAATGCTACCTAGCTGGGATCTGGGCTAGATCCCCAACTCTGCCAACAGCTCCAGGCTCTGGGGCACATGGCCAGCCTGGCAGCACAAGTGGGTCCATATGGCCACCCTTGGGGACCATCCCAAGGCACACATGACATTCACCCCCTAGAGGGATCGCAGATGACCGCCTGCCAAAGTGAAAGGGAAGGAGAAAGGGAGGCTGCTGAGGCAATCAAACCTGTGTCCACATTCAGTCTCATCGAATTCAGTATCACTTATTGACCAACTAGTAGAAGTCAGGCCCTTTGCTGGAAGGAGGGTCCAGCACGAGGTTTAGAGCCTTAGGGTATAACACTGAGGTACATGTGGGGTGGCAAAGGGGCAGAGATCAATCCTCCATCCAACTCAGCCTGGGGGGCAGGGCCCAAGAAGGCTTCCTGGAGGAGGTCATGCCACGGGAAATAACTGGACCAATGTTCTGTTGGACCCTTGCTCAGTGAGCGCCCAGTCAGGGCTCTCTGAGGAATACCAAGGAAATAAAGGGCATTTTCATATATTAGTAGTTCAGATCAAAGCACTTACTGTTTCCGTCTCAGCCTCAACACTCACTCACCGGCTGTGTGACTACAGACGAGTCACGTGACCCCTGAGTCTCCCTCCAATGCTCCTCTGGGGCTGAGGTGTTTCTCCAGGAGGTGTGATCTGGGAATGTGCTCTGACACTGTGGGCCATCGCAGCTCTTAGGATTCCATTTAATCCTCTGGCCACGGAAGGCAGCTCAAAGCAAAGCCAGGCTGCCGCCCAGGAGGTTGCAGCAGAGGAGGGAGGAAGGAGGGGCCCCAGATTCTGCATCCTCAGGCAGGTCCTGAACCTCTCTGGGCTCGGCTTCCTCCCCTGAGACATGAGAGCAAAGGACTTTTCCTCTTAGTTTCCTTCCCATACGAACGATCCACAGACCTGTGATTTTAGGACAGCGGCTGAGAGGAAGAGGCTGGGGCCCTCAAATGGCTGGGGCTCTGCTGGAGCAGGTGCTGCTCTTGCCTGGCCTCGCCTGCCCCCAGGCAGCGGCCTGAGCTGCCCCCTCCAGCTAAACCCCGACTCGGCCGCTCTGGGGCACTGCCTGCTCCATATGAGAACCGAGATGCTGGAAATGAGCTCCAGCCCCAAAAAGAGGGAGCTGAGGGAAAAAAAGGTCTCCATTTGCCTCAAAATAAAAACGGAGGCAGATGGCTGGGAGGGTTTCCATGGTTAATTAAATATGCTTTAGTCTCTAAGTTAATTATGAAATGATTCCTACAGGGGGAAGCTCTGCCTTGCACGGAGGGGTTCAGGGGAGTAGCCTGGGGAGGCTGCGGGGTCCCCTTTGTGTCTCCCTCCGGCACGAATAAAGATCCTCTGGTCCAGACCTCAGAGGCAGCAATGACCACTGAGTCAAGGGGTGACAGGAGCCACTCGCCTCCTCAGGAATCCATAAGGAGAGAGGGGCCAGCGGAGTTGAGACTCCGTAATTTCCCTTCTAAGAATTTCTTCTAAGGAAATTTTCAGAAACTCAGATGAAGATTTCCTGGACAAGAATATTCACTACAGCATCATTTATACTGATGAAAACTAGGAAACTCTCAGATGCCCGAAAATAGAGACGGCCATATAAATTCTGGTGCAACCAGACAATGAAATATTATGTAGTCATTAAAATGGTGTTTTCAAAGAATAGAGAATGACATTGGGGAATGTTCCAGTTGTATAAAGTGAAAAAAACAAGACGCAAAATTGTATATAAAGTACCACCTAATTTTATAAATAGTTGTGGACAGAAGAAAAAGGTGGCACATTAAAAGCTAATAATGGTTATTTCTGAGAGATAAGATTCTAGGAGATTTTATTTCTACATAGCTTTCTGTATTTTCTTAATTCTTTGCAAGGAGAATGTATTACCCTCATAATTAGGCAAATAATAAAAAATTTTAAATGCCAGAACTCTTTGTAGTGGATTTCCAAGTGGGCCTGAATAATTTTATCACAACTTCTTTGAAGTAAATTAACTTTACTAAAATATGAGCTTCCAGGATTGAAAAAGGTGGGCAATAGTTTATTTTCTAGAACTCTCGAGTTAAGGGAAGCACTGTACACATTGAATGCCTGTTCCCACAGTGGAATGTGACATGGCATCCTGTGCTTCCAGCCAAGACAACAGCACGGGATCTGGGAGAGAGGAGAGAGGCATCAGTTCCTGGAACCGCCCAATCTGAAAACTTGATGAGCCCCTGAGGTTCATGAAAGCTGTGAGGATACAGCTGAGGTCTCCCAGGGCGGCAGGAACCCTTACAGTCTGGAGAAGCATAAGGATGCAAGGTCAATGGTGAAATCCTCGTCTGGCCAGGACCACAGGACTGGACTCTCCTCTGTCTCTGAAACCTTTTTGGAGTCCCCAGGATCAGATAGGGACAGTGGCAGCCAGGCTGACCTAGAAGCTTAAAAGGCATTATTGACCTCATATGCCCACTGGGATAACAGGAATAGGGGATAGAAATAGAAAAAAATGTTCAAAAATGTTTGTAAGGTCCAAACACCACTGGACATTATAACAGTCGCCAACCCCTGTCAATTTAGCAAGCCACCACCACTAAAACAACTCACATCTTAGAATTAAAAAGCAGGGGGCATTACCATGAGAGAAGAAGGAAGGAAGTAGTGTTTTGTCCTTATGACGTGCTCTCTGGTGATGGCATCCCTCTCTGGGATGACACAGAGCCATCCTGTCAACAGGTGAAGGCCTCCATCAGCGTCAGGACTCTCTTGATGTCTCATTGCCAGACATGCTGCTCAGTCACAAGTGTCCTCTCCAATTTCTAGAATCTAGCCATCGAGGTAAGAAGAAACCCAAGATTACATAAACCTGAACTGTAAGGAAAGTGAAGAACTCTAACTAACCCCAATCGAAAGGAGACAAAGAAATGTGGGATAAAGAATGGAGATGTTAGTGAGAGTTATCAGCTATAATTCAAGACACTCTCCTCCAGGAGAACAAAGCGGGGAGGGCCCCAGGCCACAGTGAGGAGGCAGCCTTGAGCATCTGCTATTCCCAGTAGCTTCTTAAGCAGAGTGCACAGCAGAATGCACCACAATTCCATTTAAGAGGCTCCCCTTTCAAGATTTAAGAATCTTCCTTTCAAGCTTCTGGCACAGGAAGGAACAGCAATTACTAAAAGTGCCTTCCGATCTCTCTCACCACAGTCCCAGCACGACATAGACCTGGCTCCATCACCAAAACTTTTCAAAGCCATCCATTTTCCTGTAGCAGACCATCTTAATTTTATAAAGGAATTTTGAAAAAATATGACTCATGTTATGAACAGTTGCTTTATAGCCAGCCCTCTTGGAAGGGCTCGCTATTAAAGTGAAGGATGCCTGTCTCCAACTTCATGGTAACAAATTGCCCTTTCAAGAAGCAGATCATGACCTGAACCCAGAAATATGTCCCAGCCTCAATGACCTTTGGCTGTCAAACCATCGCCACCATCATACATTGGGCTTTGACATCCCTAAATTGATTTTCCTTCAACAAATTTGGACTTTTGCACATCAGCAAGCAAACATATTGAGATGTCATAAGGTGACACAAGCCACCAGCCAACGGTCCCATTTTTGAAGCTCTGCCATTCCATTTGGCCTGTACCATACAATATGGTGGTGCAATTGTTTGATATGTAGTTGTGTTTGTTGATGGAAAAGATGAGCAAAAACAGGAAAATAAAGTGCAAGTATTTGTAACAAGGAACAAAAGTTCTGACAAACAATACAATTTAAACTAAGATGAAATTCATTAGGACACTGAAAGTGGCAAATCTTTACCTTCAGCCAAGTGTTCATTGGTCTTGAGCTGGTTGACTGGATTCACTTGGGAGGAAAAGAAAACAAAGTCTTAGAAATGGATTGTCACTGACTGTGTCTTAGAGGCAAAATATCATTAGTGAGACAATCACTCTTTTCAGCTCTCTGAGTACAGAACCCACCTTAAAACGTACGACAATAATCGTTAACACAGATAGAGCATAAGAGCATCTGTTCTAGTGCTTTAAATATATTAAATCACTTAATTTGCACAAGCACCTAACAAGGGTTCCCATCTGAGGCACAGAGAGCTCTCAGCCATACACCAAGAAGTGGCGGATTTATGCCCATGCCCCCTGGGTCATTGTCCGTGTCCTTAACCATCAGGCAACACTGCCTCTTGTATTGCATAAGATCATCATCCACCTTTGATACATTTGATATTTATAGACACTTTCAGGAACTTATTACATGTAAAAAAATAAGGTGAAGTTCTACTGGGAAAAGGCAATCCTTGAGCAAACCTCCCTGTCTGTAGCACTTGGCTTCTCATGAGCACCCTGCAGTCAGCTTTCAGACCTCAAGTTAAAGCAGGATTGAGGAGGAATTTAGACAAGACCAAGACAGAAGACATTTTTGCCACAAGCAAGGCCATGAGCACGTGAACAACTCTGTTTGCACGTCATGTTAGGAAGCTGAGTTCTGTTCTAGGAAACACATGAAAACTCCTACACAAGGCAGAAGCTCACTCATTTAAGTGAAATTTTTTAAGAAGCCTTTGGGAACGGACTGCTCAGACGCAGGATGTCTGCGTGAGGCAGATGGCTTCCCTGTCGCTGAGAACATCACCTGTAGCCTGGGGCGTGGCCCACTTTTAGGTGCGGGAACACTGAGGTCTGCCTGGGAGGAAGAGAAGGATGGAGGATGCACCTACCCGGCAGCTCTGACCTCAAACCTCCCCGAAGCAGGTTAACTGTTAGGGTTGCAGAGTGAAGAGGTGAGCACTTCTTCAGGGTGAATGCTGACAGCCCTTAAACTTGCAAACCAGATTTGCTGGGAGCAAACATCCATGTGGGTCCAGCCTGGATAGCCTGGTACCAAGTTAGACACTATTATGGGTCACAGACCCCTTTGAGAAGCTGCAGACACTCCAGGGAAAAAAAATGTATATGTGCACACACCCACAGGATTTAACATCCACTATGCATCCCAGGACCGCCGCCCCTCCCGGGACAAATGCACGTGTTCCCCCGATTAAAGAGACCCTGCAGAGTGTAGGGGCATTTGGGACGTGAACCAGGAAGGCCAAAAGGGCATAGCAACCTGGGTCACATGACTTGTCCTTTGGTTCCGTGCCAGGTCCAGAAGGTTACAAAAGGTCTCCTCCCCAGGCCGTGCCCATCAGAGCCCCTCGCAAGCTGCTCTCATTCACACTCTCAGCACCTCGGTGAGAGGCGTGGGGCGGCGACCTCTTTCTTCCCGTGGCCATTCAGGATGGGGGAGAGCTGCATGCCTTGTCCATCTGTCCATCCTGGGGCCTGCTCTATCTGCCTGTCCCCACGCCTTGCCCCTCAAGCTGGGAAGACACCCTTATCCATCTGCCTTTCCTCTACTCATGGTGTGGAAATGGGTGCAGGGGAGTGGGGGTGTCTACGGAAAGGGTTTTAGTCCTAGGATGTCTGGGCACCCCCAACTCAAACCACTTAGAGAGAGCCCACTGTTGAAAGGGATGAGGCAGTACACGGCCCAATTTGGAGGGTCTCACGGTGAGCACCAAGGAGCCCATGGGAGTCCTTCAGGAAGAGGGTGGGGCAGGATGAGGAGCTGCAGGAAGCTCCGTGGGGCAGCTCACCTACCTGCGTATGAGCTGTGAGGAGGGCAGTGAGGTGGGGGCTGGGGTCATGGCTCCGATGGAAGCCGCGGATCAGAGAGATGTGGCTGAGGAGTGTCCCAGCGAGGGCCTGGATGGAGCTGTGGAGGAGGCACTCCGGAGTGGCATCTGTCCTGGCCTGCAGAAGGAGGTGTGGAAGAAAGAGTTTGGATGTCAATAGTGATGCCCAAGGCCCCACGAAACAGATAGGAACTTCTGGCAACTGCTAAGCAGCCAACCTCCCAAGACTTTTCCAGATCCTTGTTTCCAGCCCTATGCTCCCGATCTGACTCTCCCCACCCCAGGGCTGGGTTTGCCCCTCGGCCAGTACTTCCCGCATGATGTCCCTGTAAGTGGTGAGAGCCTCACGCCTGAGGCTCCAGGTGACAGCGTGGCTCATCACTTTGATTTGTCACCCTGAGCAATGTTTCTTGAACAAATGCCCAGTGATGGCATCTGTGTGGGGGGAGGTGAAGAGAGGGGCTAGGCCAAGGACAGGGTTGCTGATGACAGCATAATGGCAAGCAGGCCGGGGTATGTTCGTCTGTGTGGCCAGCGGGGAAAGCAGGGGTGGTGTGGGGAGTGCTGCTGAGGGCTCTGAAGTTTGCACGGGGCCCCCAAAGCCGAACTGCAGGCCCTCATCCTTGGCACACTACATCTTCAGCACGCAGGGCTGCCCTGTTCCAGGCACCCGACACAGCACAGGCTGTTGGGGCAGTGCTCACGTCCCTGCATCAGAGCACCCAGGGCCAGGGAGCATGAGGCTCGGTCTTCTCATGGACACGCAAGGGACCTGTTCGAGTTCTGCGAAAAACTCTCAGAAGGACAGGGGCTTACTCAAGGTCACCAAGATCACTGAAGCGGCGTGGAAGAGTGGGAGAGCACGGACAAGGGCAGACGAGCTAGGCTTGAGTCCTGGCTCCACCACCTACCAGCCTGCAGCCCTGGTCAGGGTCTGACCTACTGAGCCCATTTCCTCACATGCACAACGAGGAGAACAATACCACCCACAGCACACGCAAGGGCACGCCTGAATGCACAGGGCGCCATCCCCACAAATGCTGGTCTGTCTACCAAGTGGTGGTGGGTCTCTGGGTGTCACACCTGCCCGGGTTCTCTCCCCTGCCCCTTCATGAAGCTTCCTGCGTTCGCTTGACGTGTTAGTTATCTATTGCTATTCTCTATTAAAAAATTGTCCAAAAGTAGTTTAAAATAACTGCGTAAGAAAACACTCCTGCATTTCTTCTTTCTCACATGCTACCGCTACACTCCGCTTCCATTCACCAATGTGTGGGGCCTGTTTCCACGCTTCAAGCGATCCTCCAAAACCAGGTGGGTGTCCCACAGTTTAGCTCAGTTCTGACACTACCTGGAGATACTGTCAGACCCCACAGGTTAAGGGCTCAGTCCTATAAGACTGCCACCCCTCCAATCCAAATGCCGATTGCAAGTCTCAGGTTGTCACCTATACTTCTTGACCAGCTGGCTATCAATCAGGGTTTCTATAACCCCCTTCTTGGTCCTCCACTTCCATAATTTGCTAGAATGGCTCACAGAACTCAGAGAAACACTTACTTGTGTTTACTGGTTTGTTATATAATAAAGGACATGACAAAGGACACAGATGAACAGCCAGATGAAGAGATAAATAAGCCAAGGTCTGGAAGGGTCCAGAGCTCAGGAGCTTCTGTCCTCAAGGAGTTGGGGCAAGCCACTCTCCTGGCACATGGGTGTGTTCACCAACCGGAAGCTCTCTAAACCCTATATTTTGGGGATTTTTATGGAGTTTTCATCGCATAGGCACGATCAGTCATTAACTCAATCTCCAGCCCCTCCCCCCGTCCCAGAGGATGGGGATGGGGCTGAAAGAACCAAGCTTCTAATCACGGCTGGTCTTTCTGGTGACAAGCCCCCATCCTGAAACTATCTAGGACCCCACCAAGAGTCACCTCATTAGAACAAAAGACACTCCTATCACCCAAGAAATTCCAAGATTTAGGAAACAAGATCAGAGACCAAATGTCAGAAAAAAAGATGCTTCTAGTGCTCTCATCACTTACGAAATTACAAGGGTTTTAGGAGCTCTGTGCCAGGAACTGGGGGCAGAGACCAATATACATATTTTCTATTATTTCACAACCACAAACATTGATTGTCTCACAGCTTCTGCAGTCAGAAATTCAGAAACAGCTTGGCTGGGGGGTACTGGCTCGAGGCCTCTCATGAGGTTACAGACAAACATCAGCCCGGTTGCAGTCATCTGAAGGTTTGACTGGGGCTGGGGGCTCTGCTTGCAAGATGGCTTATTCACATGGCTACTGGCCAAAGGCCTCAGTTCTCTGCTAGCTGCTGGCAGGAGGCCTCCATTTCTCACCATGCAAGAGTTTCTGGCCATCTCTCCATTGGGTTGCTTGAGTGTCCTCACAACCAGGCATCTAGCTTTCCCTCAGCGTGAGTAATCCGAGAAAGAGAAGGCAACCATAGTGCCTTTTATGACCTAGTCTCAGAAGTCGCATACTGCCATTTCAGCTTTGTTCTACGCATTAGAAAGAAGTCACTAAGTCCACCCACACTGGAGGGGAGAGGAATCAGCCTCCACCTCTCCAGCGAGGAGTATCAAAGGGTTCGCATATGTATTTTAAAATCACCACACCTTGAAACAAACTCCAGTGCCTTTTGGGTTTTTCCACATAGACCAGAAACAAATGGGCATCTGGAGGGTTTGGTTGAAGCAAGGATAAAATATTCATCCATCTGAGGACACTTGGGAGGTCTCTGATGATCCTCAGCAAACATCCTCTGGAGGACACAGCAGAAGTGGCCAGAGAGGTTGGAGGCACCACCCACACCATCCCCCAACCCTTCCTGATTTCCTGAGTTGGACCGGGAGGAAAACGTTGCTATGCAAGCAGCCAAACCCATAAGACTCATTCAAGTTTCAGGGACAATTGTTATAATTTTGAGCATAGCTGAGGCTGAGCCAGTCAGGGTCCTGCCCCTGAAATGGGGGAGAATCCCTGCACCCATTAGGGGTCCCACTTTGCCAGTATTTCCCATCACCCCTGATGATGAGAATCACCTGGGGCACCTGCTAACAGGCAGACTCCTGGGCCCCAGCTGACACCTACTGAGTCAGAATTTTCAGAACAGAGGACTAGTGATCTAGACAGTTGACAAGTGCCCCCGGTGACTCTTCACCAGGGACATTTGGGAAACTGTAGGGCTGACAGAAAGAGGACAATCCAAGTAGGAGCCACAGCCAGCTTCAATTACTGAATCTGTAAAATGGGAATAACCAGGATTATCTTGATTGCCTAAAGGCACGCCTGGAATAAACAGCAGTGAAAGGGACTCCAGCGGGTGGAACCAGTAACCTCCCTCGGGGAAAGAGATTGTAGTTAAGGCAGACAAAGAGGCATGCCCGTCTTTCCTTCGGGTGCTGAGACTCATCTGAGGAGCTGGTGTCACGGGGCCCCCTGGGGCTGCCCACCCACTTGGAAACTTGGGTGAGGGAAAATGTGTCAGCTGGGCTTGGCAGCTCTCCCAGCACCAACCCAAGATGGCTCTGAACAGAAATAAAATCTGCCTTCTCACTCCAGAGGATGGGCTCTCCCGCTCCCCTGTGAGTCAGCCCCACACGTGCAAACCCAGAATATGCCGGGTGCACAGATGGCAGTAAGATGGGAGGGGAATCCAAACCAGGCTGTGGGGCAAATTGGCAAATCCAACGGCTTTGGTGGCAGAAAGACCTGGGTTGAGATCCTGCCTCCACCACCTCCTGGCTCCGTGACCTTGAGCACACTACATGGCCTCAGTTTCCTCATCTGTGAAATGGGAATAATAATGTCATTGTGGCTCTTATGAAGATAGGTAGCAGAGCATAGCGGCCAACGCTCGGCTCTGGAGCCAGACTTCCTGAATTGAATCCCAGCTCTGCCACTCACTAGGTGTGTAACCTTGTGCAGGTCGCCTAACCCCTTAAAGCCTCAGTCTCCCCATCTATAAAATGGGAGTAATGATAGTCCCTGCCCCCCAGGGCTTCTGTGAGGAGGCAGTGAGTTAATCTATGTGAAGAACTTAGAGCACCACCAGGCACACAGGAAGTGCCATGGAAGTGCTCGCCACATAGAGGAAGTCTCAGGGATCCCCGGAGACTGCTCTTTGTCACCCGATAGCATGGGTGGGGAAGGGACGTGGCCTGCACTGAGCCCCAGGACAGGCCACTGTGCTGGGTGTTTCCACCCAATTCTTCCTCCTGCTCTGACACCTCCCTCCTCCCAGTCCTGGTTCTCTTTCTCCTGGTTTGTTTCCATTCTACATCCTCTCGCCCCCAACAAAGTCATCCCCTCCTCCCGCCCCACTCCTGCCAGAGATCGGTTAGTTTAACAAAACTGAACCAAGATCCTCCCATATCATGAAGCCCCACACGGGGTCCCCAAGAAGGGGCCAGGGTGCTGGGGGGTTGGGAGGCAAGACAAAGGAAGAGACCAAAACCCAGATCTTAGGGAGCACAGGGTGTCCCCCTTGGAGAGGCAGGTGTGGAATAGACCAGGTGGCGAGGCAGCTCTGACCGTGCAGATGGTAACAGTGCTCCAGGACAGTGCGTCTCAACACTGGCTGTACCTTAGAATCAGCCAGGAGCCTTACAAATGCTGATGCCAGGGTCCCACCCCAAGGATCTAATACAATTGTCCCTGATATGCCTGAGAATTGAGAGCTTTGAAAGCTCCCTAGGTGATGCTCATGTGCAGCCAGGGCTGAGAGTCAGGGCTCTACGATAGTAGTTCTTAAACTTCAACACTCATAAGAATCACCTAGAGGGCTTGTTAAAATACAGGTTGCTGGGCCCCACCCCCAGAGTTTCTAAGTCAGCAGGTCTGGGGACTGACTTAAGAAGTTGCATTTCTTACGAGTTTCCAGATGCTGCTGATACTACTGGTTTCCTGGGACTACACTTTGAGAACCATTGTTCTAGAGTAAGGGTTGGCCCTTGGGCTGAATGCAGCCCGTGGCCTGCTTTTGTAAATAAAGTTTTATTGAAACACAGCCACACCCATTCATTTACATATTGTCTATGGCTGCTTTCACGACACAACAGAGCTGAGTAGTAAAGACGAGACCATAGGCCTTGCATAGCCTAAAATGTTCACTATACGGCTCTTTACAGAAAAAGTTTGCCAACTCCAGTTGCAGGGACCTGTGAAGCCACAGATGGCAGGATCCTGGGTCTCTGAGTGACTGCCTGGAGCAGAGCTTTCCCACTGACCTGGGCTATTCTATAGGGAAAAAAAAAGTCAACATTCTTTAAGCCACGTGTGTTGAGGCCTTTTTATTACAGTAGCTCAGCTTCAGCTATATTCTAACTCCTCAAGCCAACATTTCCTGGCTGTTCTACAACCTCACTGAGCCTCAGTTTCCCCCTCTGTAAAACACAAATAATAATATTGACTTTATGTATTATTGGAAGGATTAAAAAGCCCTGGCTCAGAGTAGGGGCTCAACAGATCTTAGTTTCCTTACCCACTACCCACTGTGGGCACCCATGGTTTGAGGGAGAACATCATTTCTGCCCCCTGCGAACTCTGTCTGCTCAGGGAAAGCAGGTCACAGCTGACATGCCAGAGAAAGTTGCTAAAACCTCTAGATGCTTGTTTTGCTCTTAAACCAAAATACGCTCCATTTCCCCAACCCCACCCCCTGCTGCAAATGAATACGGTTTTTTTATTTGGAGGCTGGCACAATTGTTCACTTGCAGAAGTGTCCTTCTCAACTCCAATGAGCTGATCTTGGAGCTACTTTAAAATAACAGTCTCTCCGGGTGGGGAACCCTCTGGCTGGGCTGGAGGTTGAGGAAACTGGCTTAAGTGGCCACCCATGGCTCAGGGGCCTGCATATGAGCACTTCACACCAAGGTCAGTAATTACATGGTTTCTACTCGGCTCCACTTACTGCCAGCTGGGCAGCGGGGCTGCCTCTCTCCCCTACGGGTAGAGAGTAGGTTGGTTAGTTCAGAAGAACGACTTGATCATCTGCTGAATGTTAAATATTGTGCTAAGGAGATGGGGAAGAACGAAGAGGAGGGGACACAATGAGAAACAGACCAAGAAACGCCACTACCAGCGGCACTCTGCAGGACCCAACTAGAAGCCAAGAAGTAACCGAGTCTACAGGCTCAGGGCTGCCAGGGGCCCTGCACTAAAACCCATTCCACACCTGGCTGGTCCCCAGTCACCCGGGGAGTTGTCAAATATACAGATTCCCAGGAGTACTTGAGCCCATAGAAGCACATTTGCTCAGGTGGGGACTCAGGACTCTGTATTTTTAGCAAGCTCCTCGGGCGATTCTGGTGGTACCCTCCTGGCACTGGACTGAGGATAGATTTTGAGGAAATACTGCATTAAATGTAACCAGAGGAAGGACTTTGATGCCCACAGATCTGGGTGCAAATTCTGGGTCCAGGGCACCAAAAAAGACCAAGTATAAAAGAAAAATTGGTAAGATAAACTATAT